GCTCTACAAGCAAAGAAAAATGACGTAAAAAATTTTATCAAAACCACTTCAGATGAACAAGTCAAGCTGTTGGGTACTGTTACTGATGTAATCGAGGCTTCTTCCTTTTGTTCAAGTAAATTTAGCTTGCAAACTTTGGGTTTGGATTGTTCTTCTAAAAAATCTCTGCCTTTATTTATCATGAAATCTGCCGAACTGACAAAGGCGCCGAGAAACGTCACAGGAACGTTAGATTACGTAGTACTCACAACGGCTGACATCACAATATATGAGCGAAGAAATCGAATAGGCTACTCGGGACTTCTGTGGTGAACATTTGTTGCTCATCGTAAATATTGTTTGAAGCAAGTACTATTAAAATTATACAAAAATCATTGAAATCAGCAAAATATGTAGTAAAAATGACGTAAAAAGGTAAAAAATGACTTATTAGTCGAAATCGACGAAAAATGCAAAAAAGACATAAAAATGTTTCATTTCGTTTCGACATAACATTAAATGAATGTCTTCACTGCACTACATCGTTTCAAAGTTAAAAGAAGGAAAATAGCAATCCGCTCCCTCGTCGTGATTCGCTGCAGCACTTTGGCTCTTGCGATAGAGGAGGGGGTAGTGTTTAATAACTAATTTATTTCCTATGGAACAAGCCGGGGCTTTGCTCGTCAACCTTACATTCGGCGGGCGCCTCCGTCGAGGAATAAACGTTACAACACCGGCCGCGGCCGTTTCGCGGACCGCGGGCCGTGGGCGTTCAGAGATGGTTGGCAAAGTGCTCTTCGCCGCCGCCCCTTGCTGCAAGCGATGGGGAGTGGGCGGTGGGGGCGTTGGCTGCTGAGGGGACTGGAGCTACCCTACGAGGCGAGGGTGTCGGACGCTTCCACGTGGGGGTGGGGAGCTTCGGAGGCGGTGGTGCACTGGGAGCGGAAGCCCTTCATGTCTTTCCGGAACCTGTTGCCCAAGGGCCGGTAGGAGAGGAATGCGCGCATGGAAGGTGCGGCGAGATCCGGCGGCGCTGGCTGAGGCGTGCGGAGGCGTGGGGTGAAGAGTCGACCCCCTACAGATTGTCTTTTTGACAGCGGACAGACGCAGAGACGCCTCCCCTTTCCCAGCGACCTCTCGCAGTGGATTTGCTTGAGGACCTTAATGTTAGTGTGCCAAAGTTTTTAAAAAATATTGAAATTAAACTCAAAATATGTCGCTTTTTTGTTGCTAATTTGTTACGCAAAATTGTCGCCCTTCATTTGACCCTGTTGAAATACTTTTAGTTTTGTCTCACGAAAAATATTTAAATGCAACTAGAGATTTTTCTACAGTACATACTATTTTCTTGCATAATTGCGGACAAGTTCATTAAATTATCATATTACAATTTCCTCACTTCACCAATCACTTGAAAAAGTTCAAAAAAACAACAAATAAATATGAAATTATAACTTGCGGTGTCGCATAAATGCAAAAATGTCGAATATGCGATTATAATCTGCAGTGTATATGGGCAATTATTTCGATATGTAGGAACAGAAGCCCTTTTTTATTACGACGAAACATAATTACAAGTCACCTTTTATAATTAGGGGGTGGATTTTGATGACCTAAAACGTTGCCAAAAGTTATCAATAAATTGCTCTTGAAATGCCCTAAAACCAGAGAAAAATTGCGTAAAAATGTGATCAAAACTAGTTCGGATGAACAACTCAAGTCTTTGGATACGTTACAGATGTAGTCGAAGCTTCTTCCATTCGTTCAAGTGAACTCAGCTTGCAACCTTTTGGTTTAGACTGTTCTTTACCAGGAAATCTCTATCTTAAGCTCTCTCGAAATCGGCCGAACCGACAATGGTGCTGATAGGATCACAGAGCCCTTAGATTACATTAAACGGCTGCTATTAAAATTTATGAGTGAAGAAATGGAATAGGCTTACTCAGGAACTATTTGAAGAACATTTGTAGCATCTCGTAAATATTATTTGATGCAAGTACCATTAAAATAATATTTAAATCGGTGAAATCGGCAAAAAAATGCATTAAAAATATGGAAAAAGGTAAAATGACTAATTAATCGAAATCAAAAACGCAAAAAAGAAGTATAAAAAAGGATCATTTTCCTCTGTCATAGGATGAAATATATTACTAAAAAATAAGACATTTCATTAAAACCCGCCCTCTACTAATAATATTTGCAGCACATCACGCAGCAAAGCAAGAATGTTTTTTTTGTGATATTACTACTATTTATTTTTTTAATTTCTTCCTTAAGCCAACAACTTAAATATTTGAAGAATATAGCTTTGGGTCTAAAGGGTCGTACAATTCTAAGAAATTAAATACAATAAAAAATTATATTTACTGTTCTGTTGTAGCGTCTGCCAGAACGTAATCTTCATGCAATCAGCTGTAAACAATTAAAACTGTTACACGGTCACTGAGTGCTGGTATAGGCCGTCAAATTAATTCAAATTTGGCGCCACGCTTCGAATAGCTCAGTTTGCTCTTTGAAGGCATTTCAGTAGGAAGGATGATACAGTTTAAACTTCCCGCCGCAGAGATAAAGAGCGTGAATTCGTTCCCTATTGACCAAATACTATTTTTTTTTTGTACAAAGCCCTTTGAAATCGATTGTCAATTGCTTCAACTGGTTCGAAAAGTCAGCAATAGATCAAGAAAAAAAGTGAGAAATAGTGGTTATCATATCTGAAGTGTGGATGTTAGAAGTCGGTGATGAAATGCTATTGGAACTGTTATCTTACGACGAAAGGCAACTCACGAATGAGCAGTCACAATTGCCTATTTATTTTGATGTCAATTGCTTATATTCTAATTAGTATATTGCAGTGGCGTAGGCTCAATGGATGAGTGTTATGTGTCGCATCCCCTAGTTTTTCGGACCTATTAAAACTTTTGTTACAAATGTTTTTCTACTCCTCAAGTATATCTTTCTGTTCCGTTTGTACCTGTTTTTTTCCATGCCATGTGCTCTCCGGTAGGAGTCTGTGTCCTTGGATGCGACAGGCCGAGAAACATCCCCTCGACGGCTTCGCGTCGTTACCAAGGTCATTGAGCTCTCATCAAGTGAAGATACGAGCTTTCGAATGCCGATGATTCGACGCTGACTGTCGCATCTAGGACTTCTCAATGGTGCTCTGTGTACCCCCTCCCAAAGCTTCGCCATCGCCTCCTTTGAGCATCTCTCTTCTTTTAGGACTGGGAACTCCACTGATCACGTGTTAACGACTGTGAGATGGTGGGGGTGGGCATCTAGACTATTACATGCGCAACTTTTCTTGATACACGAGCTCCCTAGTCCTTCCCAGCGCTAAGTAACACGGCCCATTGAAATCGTTAAGTTCAATTCGGAACGGCACGTACCAATTTACAATGTTGCCAACAACCACATCGTACCTTCAAAACAAACGTATTTCTCGTGGCACGTTTTGGGGCGTTAAGTTAGTACACTACACACGCATGCGTACTCATGTTTGCCAACAGTTCTGTCGTGATTTAGGAGAGGTAGGTTGTCAATACTGATAAACAACCGCACGCGACTGAACTTATTTGCCCGTTTTCCTTGAAAATGCATCACAGAGAATAATATGTCTTCCACAAAAAACAGTTTTGAAACTAACGCGATAATTAGAACCCAACATTTTTTGTGTGAAAAGATGCAACATAGCAAGCAGTTTGTAGAGACAGGAACCGGTGTGTGGAAACTTCCAAAATGCTTTGAAAGGTTTCAAAAAATCTATTAAATTCTCAAGTACGTTAGAAGATGAGGGCAAATCGACCCCTAATTAAGGTTAGGTGTATTGTTCCTGTTTCAATGTACTTTTTTGTTTATTACTGACAGCAAGCAACACAAAACTAGCAATTCTAAAAGATGGTACAGTTTGTGACACATTGTAACAGAATACATAAACATAGTACGATGTCGATTAGATATCTTAATTCTTCTACCTTTTTATAGTACAATTTATTTAGCCGTGCACTTGACGCAAATAAGCTGTTGCTGTTTCATCCAATCGGGAGCTTATGTCGCTATTATATGCGCAAGTTTTCTTGATGCATATCCCCACTCCTTTACTAACTATAATTGAATTCAGATTAAATGATAGCAACACGTTTTGTTGACGAACATTGATAACCAGAAGTGTTTTCTCCTATCTAATAGAAAATAGTTTTCATCGAGAAACGAGCTACAGATTTCATATAATAGTTCTGTCAACAAAATAATCACCCCCCCTCCTCGCATCTGGCGAATTAAGGGCTCAAGAAAACGTACGGGGATATAATACTGACGCAACTATGGAGACGTTTAAGCTCCCGATTGGAAGAAACCGTGAACAGATGATGTACGTAAAGTGCACAACTAAATAATACGTAGTATAATCCGTGAAACTGATTGCATCCCCCTGCTCACTGGGCAGGATACGCCACTGCTGTATTGATATTAGCCAAGCGAATGCACATAGTTTTGACAACGCTGCGCTGGCAACAGTGCGTGCTCGCTTCGTGTTTGAATTGGACGTTTTGAAATGATGGCTGATGTGATAGCGTAGAAAATGCAATATTTCAATATTACATTGCTGTTTCCAATAACGCGAGGAAGTTTGTGTTGTTGCTTCAGTAGTTTCTACGTTGCATTTAATTGTAATGCCAGTCATTTGAGATTTTTGGTTTGAAATAATGCCAAGAAAAAGTCAACATACGGTATTATACATACAGGTTGCTGCTTAGAAGTGATACTATGTATCACAGTTAGACACTGATAGTATTAAGGAGACGGCAATTGACATAGATCCATACTGACTTAGCTTAATTTGTGAATGTATGACAATCCCATTTTTTCCAAATGAAGTATTTTGTCTTACATTCAGGTAAATTCCTTACATCACCATATGTATAGTTCCACCATACTATGTTATTTTAATACTGGCCACACCATGAAATATCACCTCAATGAGATCCAGGGTATTGTGGGAAGCATATCAATGAAATAAAAGTCACTTTTTCTGATGCAAAACTAATATCTATATTACACCAACATTGCTATACAAGTTGTATATACCGCATATTTCTTTGACATACAAATTATAAGCTATATCTCACTTCATATAAATGTGACTAAAACATTTCTAAAAATCAGGAAATCAGATATTCTAACATATGACAGCAAAATGACATTACTGGTGTATGAACTGCAGATTTCATAAAACTGAGTGTGCCCAGTTATTGAAGAAAAGAATTTCAGTTCGAAAAACATTACTCATTCTAATGTAATACTTGTAAAACATACCATCCCAGACTATTTCTTCAGGTGAAAACTCATTAAAATTATGAAAACACGTATGTACACTAGTAAACACACTAAAATTTTGACAAGACAATAAAACCTTTCACAAGTAATGCCATTATAAGACAAATAGTATGTTTGGGGAAGGAAAACTTCACAACATCAAATTTGGATAAAAATCGTCTAAAACACAAAATTCAAGTGCATTTCAACTCAAATGTACACCTCCCATTTCTTCGGTGTACCTAAAAACCGTCTTAAATAAAAATTCTAGTTCAAACAATGAAGAAATACATATACACAAAAGAGAAGTTCAAACACTAAGAAGTGGTAATAAAATGATGCTCTAAAAAAAATAAAAAGATTATTGTTTACAGTTATAAAGAAAGCACCTTCTTATCACCTCACATACACACATAAAACCATTCAATAAAATCGAATTCACAGAAATTGCACAATATTTTCTCAATCACAGCAAGTGGCTAATAACATTAAGAATACCACAATACATTACCTTAACTCAAATTATTTGTGCAGCTTTTCAAGCAGATAATCGTCAAGACTTTCAGTGCAAATAAGTCATAAAAAGCATCCAAATCGATTTACATTCAAACAACTTCACTTCATGCAAACATGAGACAAAGACCTCAATGCAGATGGGAAAAATTACAGATGTTCCTATTCAGCAAATGTATATTAATCCAGTATAGGAGACAATATCCAATATGTTATTCCACATGTTCGCATTTTGCAGAAAATCATAGAAATTGAACATATGTAGGCTATAGAACTTATCCCTGCCAAGATGACCACTTCAAAAACCTCATTTACTCATTAGTCCCACTGACATGTATTGAATAACAAAAAACAGGTCACAATGCTGCCACATTACCCACTGAACACTTACTGTAAATGCATACTTGTTTCAATGTTTGAACTTCATGATGTATATCAAAGATGAAGCTTCTATTTTCCAAATAACTAGCAGCTACATAAAAACTGAAAATTTAAATAGTAAAAATTACACCATGGAAAATGTAATTTACATTTCTGTAAAATACATTTCCAATTCTCAAAATTAATGAAAATAAAAGGATTACAAAAAATTGTCATGAACACATCAAATAAATGGCAAATAAGCTAGCAAAAGTAGTGAAACAACAAAGCAATGAACTTCGAAGGAAAAAATTTAATTATTTCTAGAAAACTGAATGGCTAATTAATAGTGGCTGCATCCCAGAAGAAAAGATTCCCCCTAATATATTTCAGGAGAATACACTAGAGAATCTTAGAGCAAAACTGACCCCAGATTTCAAATATGCCACTTTTACACACAATAAAAAAAAAGTTCAATACAGAATTACTTCCACAAATGAATTATATAACAAATTACTGCCATACTTCTGAATAACTGCACACTCCACTAAATTCATTGAAGAATGTGACTTCATAATGCACAAGAAAATATTAGTAAACATTTAGCTTATATACAATGCAATCATGAACTTCCTTCAATAATATACCTTCATATTGATGTACTTAACATTTTACACTTTTCACAACAGTCTATAGAGATAATAAGTATATATATTTAAAAAAAAACAATAAAATTTACTACAAATTCAATTCAATCATTCTTTGTTCTAATTAAGAGCAATTTAATCACTTTTTTGTCTAGGAATACATATTTAATATACCAAGTGTGAACTGTCTAAATGAAAAACATGGAATGGGAGGAATGTAAGTGGCATCTGTACATAACCTGTTCACAACATGAATTTAGTTTAATAAACGAAAATAACATTTCACACATTATTACAATAACTATAAAAAAAAGTATTATACAAAGCAAGGTGTGTCAACGTAAGTGATAAATCTGTAGAATCACAAGGATTATTACCATTCTTAATAACACAAGTACAAGAACTTAGATATACTAAACAATGATGAAGTGCTTTACACAAGATAATTGTTATACATATTATTTAAAAACAGCATGGGAAAGAAAACAAGCATCTATCACAGAAAAAAGAATCACTGCACAAAGCAGTTTATTCTGAAAGCACTCAGCAAACCAAAGTAGTAACATTTATATGACAAACATTCATGTTCTTGGTAGTCAAACCCAGCAATATCGTTATGCAGCAGGAGTTTAAAGCTAAGAATAGGGCAGGTGCAGCCACTAAGAATGGTGAATCCACAAACTGTGCTTTTGTTTCACGCAAACATTTATACACAACGCATTGAGCCCATTTTCCTCAAATTTCAGATAATACTATATATTCAATCTCATACATGCACAAGAAAATAGGAAAAAATCTTAAACATAAACTATATGACAAATTTTGGAAAACAAATTTTCTACAGACAATTACATTTCTATACATAAACCACAGTATTTTTTGCAATTAAATGGTTTTAACCAACTTCAAAGCTCAATGTATTGAGTAAAAAACAGTAGAATTTGCATTTAGGTTGCAATAAAGAAACATCAGGTCCAGTTTCACACTTTGAGCGTCCCTTTGTGCTGTTGCCAATGCTGATAGGTAGAGTTTGGGCTGCCCTGATTGCTGTGGTTGTTCCATTTGACAGTCGAAGATCGCACCAGGGAATTGTGATGGTGACAAGGTGGTGGAGAGGGAGGAAGCCATCGAGGAATCAATGTATACCAAGTAGGCAGAGTGTGTGGGAAGGCATTCCCCAGCTGACCCTGATTGTTCCAACCCTTGGTGCGAGGTCCAGATGTTGTTTTATGGTTATTATGTTTTGGGCTGCCACGACCTGGAGATCTGCGGTTCTTATTTGCACCAAAACTGCTCGAGCTTAAAGGAATGACCTAGAAAATTAGAAAAACAAACAAGTCAGTGTAGCATTTCAGCATAAGAGAAGTGTCTCGAAATGTAAAAAGAAGTGTGTCAAAACAAGTCTGATTAATAAAATAATTCAGAAATATTTCGAATTATTTGTATTAATTCTTAATATTTATCATCCCTATGTTTCTATACTTAAATAACTTTAAACAGCCCAATAATAATTATAACAAAAAAAATATGTTGGAAAGCATTATTTGCATCAACTGGAAACTAATAAGATCTCCTGATTTACATTCTGTTGCTGACAAGACAGTCACAACCCTATATTAAACCAACAGAATCTTAGCCTGACAGCTGGCAGATAAAATTGCAGAGTACTCGCTGTTTGCAAAAGATGTTAGTGGCTTCTGGGTCTACAATAGCCCTTTGAATCTTGTAAATGTGTACTATGTTCTAGTGATATACGGGCTGTACCAAAGAAAAGAAAATACAAAACGTGAGAATTTGAAATAAGGAGAGTATAAATTAAACAGATTTCTTTCTTACATTTACTTACACAAGCGTACATTAATGATTTGAGACCAAAGTCCAAACATTCAGAAAATCTATAACCCTTGGAAGCAGATACTGTGAGGTCTCAAGAAACTCAAAGAGAAAAGGTCGATACAATCACAATAAATTTCTCACCCAATAATATTACAACATTGAAGGAGGAGGAGAAGAAGGTAAACTAGTAGTGCTACAGAATGGTGCTGACTTTCTGTAGTTTTCTAATTTCCTTGGTGTGGGCGAGCTCTATGATCTTGCCCATCCTCTTAAGAGCTGCCACCCTTAATACAATTTTTGAAGTTATCTCAATTTTGGGATTTCCTCATAGGTTTTGAAATATTACTTTTATAATCTTAAAGAAGAGTAAAACGTCTTTCTAAATGGCAATTTTTATTGATAAATTTTAAGCCATTTTCAAGAAAATGTCATTTAAGCATTACTTAAATGCAAATTTTGACACTTTTTCACAGAAATCTTTTGAGATTTCAAAAAACTTAACATAAACTCATTTGAAGCTCTTCCACTTTTGCAAATGTAGGAATGTGTACAAATAGTTGGATATGTACAGTGTGAGACGTGATATATATATATGCGGTATATATGCTATATATATATATATATATATATATATATATATATAAAATTAAAAAAGCAACAACACAGAATACACTAAAATTAAATTTATGTTATCATAAATAGGGCAATTAGCAGTATCCGTACAAAAAGTTTGAAGAAAACAGTGTTTAAGCTTTTCCAAAAATGTGGAGTATTGAGCTTATTTTCATTAAAGTTGAGTTTTCGAGAAACATTATATGACATTATTTAAAGCACATGTACTCATAAATACAATAATGTAAAACAATCATTGTGAAACAAGGAAAAAAAGTTACATTTTTGTAATTTTTGAAAAAACAAAAGAATAGAGCAAATATAATGTTTGTTATCTTATAGGGTACATTTAATACTATTCTTATCAAAAGTTTAAAGAAAAAAATTTTGAGCTGTTTTTGGCAAAATCTTGTTTTGAAATGTTTTAATATTGTATATATCGCAAGGAATATAGTGCGTAAAATACTAAAGTTTTCAAAAAATGTCCACAACCATATCGAAAGAACTAATTACGGAAAACAAATTTTATTTGAAGTAAACTTCTCTATTTTCAATTTTGTGTTTGTAGGAAGCCTCTGAAGAAGAAGAAAGAAAGAAGAAGTGGGGGACGGAAGGAGAAAAAACAACAACAAACAAACAACAGACCTATCCTGTCTTTATAAGTGTATTTCACTCTATGCTTACAATGAATTACAAGGAGGAGAAACAATAGAAAAGACAAATGGAAAAGTTTGGAACCAAGAACTAGTCCATCATAACAAACTTCAACAAAAAACAGCAACCAATACAAGGAATCTAGGATGGTTTAAGAAAGACTAGCCTGAAACTGCAATATTAATTGCAGTCTCCTCAGATGAAAAGGTAATTCTTCAATTTTACTAACAGCCAATCAGTAAAATTCAGAACTATTCGATGTCACCTAATATATTGAACACTTTCATTATTGTCCTTACACCATGAATTATATTCCACAATAACATTGAGTAAGGACCTCTAACTTGTCAAGTAGGAAGGGCCCATGTTGTTCATTGAATGCAAGGTGTTTGACTGCGACACCCACATCATAAAAATCAAACCTCGGAGTAAACTCAAAAAAGGACATTTGAAACATTATTTGCTGTGAATGTGCACTGTGCTGACAAATCCAAAAGACTCCTATGACACCCATAGATCATCTTCCTGAATTTAATGGACTGAAGATGATGTTCAAGAGGCCTCCCAAAAACAAACATCTACACTATGAAGTTTCTTGTTTCAAAAGTGTCTGAACAAGGTAAATTCAACTTCTGAAACACACATGGTAAGTAGAGAGGGAGTGCTCATGCAATCTCGATTAGCCACAGTGCTTGGTGAATGTTCACTTCTTTTGACGAGTCCTTACGACAGACAAGTTGCAGTTAGGACAAGCACCGAACTTTTGACAAACAGGAAGAAACATAACCACTATACAAGATTCAGCAAACAGGCGCTTGCATCAACTGCCGAAGGTGTGTACCTGCTTTACATTGCAAACTCAGGATTTAGTGGAACTTACAGAAAACAGCAAAACAACTTAGTAAGAAGAAACTATTTGCAACTAATATACAAATTTAAGCCACGAGATACTCCAAGAAGTGACGAACAATTTTGTTGTAGTTATATTTGCTTTTTATTTGTGACTAACTGGATAATTTCCTTGCGTGCCCTAAAATTTTCCCACATTAACCCACTGATGCACCAACAGCCTTTTAAGCCCAGTCGCAGCTTTGCAATTCTTGAGAACTACTAAACCTTGAGAACCATTATATCTCTAGAACCTGTCATCACAGTATTCTTCCATCTCTTTTCTAAAGTATTATTCTCATATTTTTAGAAAAATATAAATGGTTTTACTAACATTGTTGGGCTTTACAGAAATCAGGCTTTTGAGATCCCTTAGATGCACTCTGAGAGAAGAAACTTTGGAAGGACATTTATTGACCGAATTTGATAATGACTTCTAGGAACTACATTTTTGTACTTATGCCTACAATTTCATTTTTAGAAGTACTTTCAATATCATCCTACTATGTATGATACTGTTGACTACATTTTCATTTATATTGTTTAAAATTTCTGAAATGATATTACATGAAAAAATTTATGAGCATTGAATGACTCTTGAAAAACTCTCATGAAATGAATAATTATCTTTCAAAATGAAGATTGAGATTCAAATTAATGAAATGAAATAGATACATTACAATTGGATCTCTTAAGAATTTTCTACAGCTATGACTGTGGAAAAGAAAAGAAGGAATCTTAACGAAAACTTAAGTGCAAAATATTTTGAAAGGTTTTCCTCACTTTACAAAAAACACCTCGTTATACTAACGCAAGGATGTCTTTCATTTGTTTAAAACCAAATGAAAAATGCATTACACTGCATAAATGCTGAAGCAGATTGAGTCAAGAAGAATGCAATAGAATAATTTCACCAAGAGTAAGTCGTTCTGCTTGTAAATGTGAGAAATGTCCCATTTTTCCATGTACCCACAATCATTTCACAATTCAAAAAATAAGACTGGTTATTTGATACAAGGTAAACAAGAACGAAAGCTACAAAAGTAAGCACTCTTCAACTACATGTAGTCTTAATGGAAAACTGACTGAATGCATACAATCCTAGCAAGAGCTCCATGGGGGTCCACTCATTTTCTGGAACAAAATTCCCTGCCTTTTCCAATATTTTTTAAAAAGTGTTATTTTCCACCAATAAGATTTCTAGAGTATTTCATTATTATTGTTTTTAAATATTAAAGTCTAAAAGTAATTTATCACCACTCAGATTTCACTGTAAATACAGTTTTTAAAAAAGCTGCAATGAGTCACAATTTCTTGTTAGACTAATTTTATCTATTTATATGATCTCAAAAATTTCTCCGATTTCTAACAATTCATTTACAAATTCCCTGATTTTTCCGTTTTTCAAAGTGGCCCTCCTGCAGTAGATGTTCAACTTGTAAGCTTTCATAGCAAGTTTCCATTCGTAGTACATGTGCAATAAAACAGTAAATTGTAAATTATGTTGTTTCTAAACATTATTAATAACAATTTTTAAATTTTTTTCATTTCGTAAATCTATATATAAATACAGAAACAAATCTCCTCCAAAATTCTACCGATATTATTCACATAGCATTTTTATATTAAAAAATTACTGGGTCAAAAAGACACTACTGTACTGATGGTGATCTGAGGCTTGCTGAGTCAGCTGGTTAACACTTTACTGGTATCAATACAGGAAACAAAAGCTCGTCTGTCTTAAGTTACAAGATTATGTAATCTTAGAAATGAGACAAGAATATTATACATACATACACACACACACACACAGTGAAGGGAAATATAACAATTCCAATAATTATTGAAGATCTGTAGGCATTCAAACATCATTAATTCATGTATTAATATTACCTCTGATTTTGTATCCTTATGATTTTCACTGACAACTTCAATTTTCTCCAGTTCAATATTATTTTTGTTCTCTTTCCCATTGAATGATGCCAGAGTACAATATGATCCTCTATGTTCACCAAATCTGAAAAATTCAAATTTGTACACTAATTAAAGTGTACCTTTTTACTGATGTGATCTTAAAATTTAGCTGTGTCAGTGTTTTGGAATTGATTTTCTTCTTCTACACAATATGCAAATATTCTACAGCCACTTCTGAAATATTTATACTTCATGAATTTTTACAGAAAACAAATTTACTGTAGAGGCCATTACTGAAACATAAACATGCTGATGAAAGATCTGTCCGTTTCATGTTCAGTAGGTTAAAATGGTTTTTATTTAATGAAATTTAACACAGGATACAATCTATGAATATAATACAGTATAATTGTTATGGGGGTTAGGCAACACCCTAAGTTTTCTTGAACACATAGAATTTCATAATTAAACTCAACAAATGTATTATCTTTAACAGTAACATGAAATATATTTTTTTTTAACTCATTGCCCACAATTACCAGTGGTGTAAATAAACTTATCTGGGTGATGTGAAGTCGTGAAATCAACATTCCTCATTGTGCTGAGTAGTGACATTTTGAGTGTGATGTTTAAAAAGAGTGATGGCATAGTTATGAGGGGGGTATTAACTGGTTTCTGATACTGGTCATTTCACTGCCTACCGATATTTAAAAACAATTAAAGAACCACTTTTCCAAACACTTGGAAATAAAACTTTTAGAATAAGTTTTACTAATTACTGACTACAATGCTTACTTACTTTTGTAAAATCTGAAAATTCAGTCATTTTAACATTTTTACATAATTATATCACGTGTATCATAATAATCATAAGATACCTCACAAATGTTTATTGTACTATTCATGAATCTTCAAATAATTCTTTTTTAACAAAAAGGTACAATAAATAAATAAATACTTCGAGAAATTAAAAGTCTTGGCACAATTTTAATCTAGCACATCACACCATTTCTCACACAAAAAAAGTTAGGAAAATTACAGAAACGAACATGTAACTGAAGAACATCAAATACAACTTGAAAATCAGAGTACAATATACAAACTATGCACAAGGCAAAATGCTCTTAATGACGGCTATATGTCCCAAAGGATTAATGTCATTAGTAATGTTAATTCAAATAACATCTCTGTGGCATGTTTATTTAGTGGCAAACAATCTACCTACAACTATATTAAAGAATTAGGTCTTCACTACCTAGCATACTTAATTTGTTATAAGTAAAAAAACTACTCCATGACGGTATATCATTATTTTATTAATAAGCCTTTCTGTAGATGCTAAATATTAGATATTAAAATCTTGCACATACCTGCAGCACACTTCATTTGGATCAACCCAAAGAGTAAGTTCTACCGGTAACTTCAGATCTTCATACTTGAAACCACAAGCAAGAGCTGCTCGCTCTAAAGTAGCATCACGTCGATCTCTTTCATTCACTCGAATGCAGCGATAACCTTGTCCTTTACATGGTTGGTCAGGAAACCAATGGTTTTCAAATCTTTCCACGAGCAACTCTGACAAATGTTTCTGAAATTCTTGGAGCTGCTCTTGGTTAAAGTTTTCGCTTTTCTCGATCAGGCGGACTAAAAAGAGCACCGCCGCCGAAATTTCGTCTAACATGATGAGGAGAATAAGTAATATGGGGAAAGTGAACAAACACTTGCAGTGTGACACACATAAGTGTGGCAACCAAACTCTAAGCAAGGCTACGTACGTAGTACTCAGCCCTTAAATAAACAAGCACTTGCCAGAATCTCTTCAAAAAAGAAAATTGCTAACTAGTACCACACAAAATCAAATGCTTTTACAGGGAGTTCATGTAGGCCAAATGGTTGATAGCCTACTTCCGTATAAACACCGATTACAAATCTCTTTTCAGCAAGCAGTCGAGACCTGAAAAACAAAATAACATATTTTTCAAGTATCCTATGAAATGCTACAATTATTATCACAATACAAAAACACTACTTTCTACTTCCTCGTTGAAGAGTAGTGCCACCTCATTTAGATACAACACGGATGCGTAATTCAACAACTCTGATTCGACACAGGTATATATTGCATTATTTTTTCCAAAGTATCGAGCAAATTATAAGAAATAAACAAAAAACTGCGTGACTAGATCCCAAACTTAGTTATTAAATGATATATACAAATCACCAACCTTCGTCAGCAATGAACTTGGAACCAGCTTGGAAGTGCAACGTGAAAGGCGAAACAAATGATGACCGAATTGCGTTTCTAAACCTCACAACCAATGGAAACGGAGCTTTCGCAGTATTGTGGCAACCACGTGCTTTGTGTTTTTGATGACGTCATCAGAATTTTTTATGGAAGTTTTATGCTGGTTGATGGTTCTTTCAATTTCAGGAAGTATTGAAAAATAATACATCTTCTGTTATTTTCTTTGGAAAATATAATTATTATATCTGAAATGATGTTCATATGCCATCGGTAAATATGTACACATTTTGTAATAATTTTCTTAGAGTAAACTAGTTACCGTTCGTCCCGTAACTTTCCATATATGCTCTCTGTCCATAACAAAGAATAAAACGAAGTTTGTGAATTGAAAGGTAAATCGATTAAAAGTAATTGTTTAAGATCAGTAACATTCTTTTAATTCCATTGTAATTGATAAGTATTATGTTAATGCAAGTTAAGTTATTACAGCTGCGTATCCGGACTGTGAAGCCTCATTAATTTCAGGTTCTACTTACGTTCATGGACTTCCCGATGTCACGCGGATTATTAAACACTAATCTTTCCAAGCTATATTTCCGTAATTCTAATTAGTGTGTGTTGACAATGGAATTACATTTCCTTTTCAGAATATTTATTTTATGGAAGTAAAGAAAAATTGATTTTATTTGCAGTCACTAATTCTGTATATTATTATAAATATTGCTCTTTCTTACAAGTGCAAATATTATATCAACTGAGATGATCTTCCGTGCATCAGATTGAATGGGTTTTACCACAAACCCCTTATGGAATGAAAGTATTAGTGCTTTGCATACTATTTAACATATTCACCTCTTGGCTAATAACATTTCTGCTTATGCTGCTGAATGAGCTATTTAAATTAAGTTCACTGCATAAGTACCCAAAATGCATACTATGTTGGAAAAAGCTATTGAATTTGAAAATTAAAAATAAAATGCATACACAAAAGTTCGGTAATTACTGTTTACACCTTTATTAGCGGGTTTCAATCATTACACTTTTTTTAATGTCCCTTAACACTGGAAAGTGGTTTTCTTTTCTGTGATGTTTAAGTGATCAATGTGGTTACATGAAGTTTAATAGCAGAAATGGTTTAAGATTATGGAGGAGATCTTTATTACCTCACAGGCATTAAGCATACAGAATTACAATTCCTTCAAGAGGTCCACAGGTAGTATGAACATTGAATCAACTCCTATATTAATATCAATTTACACATGACAATGCAGAACCTCAAAAAATCGACGTCTAAACATCTCTAGATCACAAATTTTACGAGGTAGATTTCTGTTACAAAAATCTGTAGACACAAACTATAAATTAATTTAGCCTCCCTGCAAGATAGCAGACTACAGAAAACTGCAGATGTTCTTAGTAAAAGACCCACAACCCCTGAAAGACCAAATAACTTGTGCAGAAATGGATAGTTCCATTATTAATTTTACAAGAAAATATCAGGTTTTGCCTGCATACATAAGGCAACTATGGAAATATCAAAATACTTGGCAGACCACTTGATTGGTTTGCTGCATTCTCCACATAATATTGTCTTGCAGCAACAACTGCAACGAAAATGTCTAAGGGCAAGAAGACATTCACCTTGCTTATGAACACATTAACATAACATACAAGAAAAATTCCCCCAGTACAAGAATGACCAAACCCTTTTCATAAAGTTTTTCTAAGCTAGTCATATTAAATTAAAAGAGACATTCTTGAAGAGCTTATAAAAAACAAAACAAAAATAAACTTGATAGATATGTTAAAAATGCATTCATGAACTTCTAAGAAAAGTAATTTATATTTTCATTGACAATGAGTCTTCTTTTCTGCAGCCATTATAGACCAAACAAATCAGCTTATCCTCAGGAACACAAGTAATTCTATACTTAAACAAGTTCCTCAAAATAATAAAAATAAATTAAAAAGTAAAATGAAATCTGATTGTTAGACAAAATCCCAATACAAAAAAATTTGTCAGGTATCGCTTCAGGTAAAACAATTTTATTGAAGAATTTCTCGTCAATTTTGCATTATTCAGTATGTCCTACAGATTAGCAAATTCCAAAAACACATGATTAGCAGACGGGAGGAAAATGTACAATAAAAACGAAGTAAAACAAGAAATGAAAAAACAACCAAAAAACATTCTTTACATTACATAGCCTACTGTTACTGCATTTTAAACACCACTTTTCCTTTCTAATGAGATTCAACTCTTAAGTACTGAACAGCAGTACACCTGCCATCTGCTTTGAACTGTCCCATGAACTTGGCTAGAAAATGGCCAACTATCACATTTTTCACTTATTGTGAAGACGATTAAATAAAAATCAAACGAGTACAAATTGCCTTTAAGTTTCCCTCTTAGGCCTTGGGTATTCAGTCAACCACACACAATAAATATTCTTTGCAGTACAGCAGAAAAAGTAAGTTACTAACATTGTACATTGAACAAGTCAAACGAAATCTTCACTTTTATGACAATGACAAATGTAACCAAATTACAATAACTATTACTAAAATGAATTGTGGCATTTTAATGCAAGATAAATGTCAAGATTTTAAATACTTTATCATAAAATACTGATCAAGAATAAGAGAAACAGCCAAAAACTGTCATGGCATACTCATTAAATGACACTGATACAACAAATGTTCCGTTGTGAAAAATTAGATTAATAATAAACTCACTCATCTTACACACATTGCATATTAAGTCATATTATGTCATACACGTAACCATGATGTGTCAAAGAGAGGTCTTTGTTGAGACCCTACAATCTAAGACTAAAAGAGGTCACAATTCACTTTTGGTTCTGCAATTTCTCTCATTTTAATCTCACTTTTTGTGAAATTCCACGAGGCAGAGGCGACAACTCCATGAGCCTTCTGGAGGTGATGAGAGAGGTGGAGAGAGGCAGTACATGTGATATCCACGGTCACAATCATCACAAAACAGCAATTGGTCCTACAAAATAAAAGAAAAAACAAATCTATTTCAGGTATCAAAATGGCAGACACAATATTTACAAATTCAATAAATACTAATGAATAATGTTTAGAACCTTCTGAAAATAAGATTTTACAAATGACAAATATACAACTAATTTTACTTTCAAGACACGTTTCTTATTTTGCAGTAGCAAAGGCATTAAAAATACTATATTTAAAAGTATAAATATACTTAATTCTAAAAAAGATTATATAAAAATTGTTTTATACAATCTGGCATTTTATACTCTAATATTTCTGGAATTTGATGAAAGTACATCAAAAATGTAATTTTTATTTGCACACATTTCCTATTAAAAGACTAAGACAAAGTTTAAATAAAATAATATCATTTTGTTTCAAGAATCTTCTCAGGTGTGTATTAACTAATTTCAGAAATTTTTAATAACAAAACAAGTAAAACAAATTATCTTTTTTCTATAATCACAAATGAATTTTGTGCAGTGAACAATTTCATTGCCAAGAGGGATTGTGAAAAGCTCTATCCTCCTAATGTTTACATTTACATACAGCAATACCCTGACTGGGATAACATTGATAAAAATGAATATTTTTATTTTATCTACTTACATCATTATCTGAATTTCCACAAATGGAACAGCACTTGCATTCAATACACTGCCACCTGTACTTATGGACTGAGATTATCATGTTGGGGGTGAACTGCAGGCACGAAGGGTGACCTAGGTAAATTAATAATAATAATTAGCCACACTTTATGATAATTAATTAAAATTCACTCATTCACATTGATTTCCATAAAAACTTTTTACGCTATTTAAAGAGTATGTTGTGAAACTGCAACATACTGTTGAACTTCTTTTAACTCCTACCAAATTAGTATGAAAAATATTATTAGAAAGTGTTCTGAAAATCACGACAAAAACAAGTACTTATAAAACTATTTCAAATTACTCGCGTATATAAATAAATTTCTAAAAAACCACAAGAATTTCAGAAACTGCAACAGCCCTACTAGCATATCTGCATGACTGAATAATTGATAAAACAAAGAATTTCCATCTCAAGAATTAGCAATAGTTCTGAAACTATTTTTAAAAAGATTCAATCAGTCACTACATTGTATTTTTATAAATGCTTGTCATTCTCTAAAACAATTAAAAACAGACTACATAGAAATATTCTCCATAATATAAATAGCATAAAGGAATGGTCAAGGGAATGGATATGATGCTGTGCCGAAGAACAGTGAATTTTCAAGATTCATGATAATCAAAATTCTCTGACTGTCAGAATGCTGAACAAAGCAACAGATTGTGAAGTTTTGCCCTTAGATTTTGTTTCACTTGGGAACAGCACAAGTGTACTTCACAGCTCCTCAGCACAGATTTAAAGAAAACCACAGTACCTCATGTTTCAAAGGATAGAAATGCTTTTATTCATGATAATAATTCTTATGAAGATGAAGGACAAATGTACTGTTCACTGTGACTTTAAAATTTCACAAAAGCTCCATGCTCTGAGCATTTCCTTCCAGAACATTACATTTTAAATACAAATTCTGAAGACAAATCAACAAATAACAATAAATTGTTAAATCTGACAGCCAGAGAAGTACAGTGAGTCAAGAAATGAACAGTTTTCTAAATAACAAAGATCAAGTATGCATAAGCTAGGGAAAAAACATGAAATGCAGTAGCAAAATAATTATCTCACTGCACTCTACTTTTATAACATAATTTAAGCATCAAGTAAATGTGTAAGTAAAGGCAGTACTTTTGAATGATTTTTTAATGCTCTTATCAAAATTACAACAAATTAAATAATTATCTTCAATCTCATCCACAAAATATTTCCAAATAAGAGGTACATATCCTTAAATGCTACATTTTCTTGATGCTTGTTCATTTTAATAAACTCTTTAATACAATTCATTTTTCTCTTTCTTTCAATAAGCACCTTTCACAATCAAAGCTCTCACAAAATAACAAAAACAAAAAAGAATGTAACAAAAGAATAAAAAATTTTCAAAGTCAGCCTAGGAACAGATACTCTTGAATAATCAATTCATCATAATTACAAAACAATTAATTTTACAATACAGCAACATCACATTTCAAAAAGTTGTTCTCAAGCTCTATAATTTAAAAGAGCAGATTCATTAGGATATTGAAACAAGTTCTATCAAGTTTCCTTTCTCGGTTTACAGGTTATCAGAATCATTGAGTGAATTATGGGTAAAATCATTAATTCATGAACTAGCAAATTGGAACTCCACCAAATTATATTTCAATACAATTGTACACACTACTAAGCACAAAAGAGTAGCAATGCAATACATTTATTTGCTATTAAAATAGAGGAATGTTGTTTATGTATCTGAAGAGAACAGGAATGCCACCTACATGCTTCAGTGAAACTGGAATACTTTTATCTTATACCAAACATTTCAACAAAATATCCTACGCACTTCAAAATCAATGGAATGAAAATATTAAATATGCTTTAACACTGTAGTTTGCTGCATCAGACTGGCAACACTACCTAAAAGTTTGTAATTCAATAATTCAAAACATGATTTTTGTATTTATAGAGACGTTAATCTCAAGAAAGTGATAACTTGCAGAAATGTATATCATCTGAAGTTAATTAAATTAAATAAATTCCAAATATAATTTAGAAACTTTATTGTTTGCCAAGAAAAAAAATGTCTTCTAAATAAGCAAATTCAAATAAGAATAAAATGCTGAAGATTTTTCCCGAAGAGAAAATAATGAAAAAATGGTCACATTCAAAATGTTTCAATCTTTTTATTCTGATGATTATGTTACTTAAATGAAATGCACAGCAATTTTAATATAATGTATATAAAATATAATATATTTTGCTGAACTTCCGACAAGAAAAAAATATACAAGTCGTAATAAATTATTTCACCAACAAAGATGATAAATAATAAATCCAAATCAGAATTCCAACCATTCTGACATCATTATTCTTTACCTCTCATTCTTTTCTAAAGATAATTTTTCTTTCAAATATCTTAGGATTTTAATAGAAGATGAAAGAAAGAAAGAAAAAGTAGTTAATTTTGTAGCATTTAATGAAGACATTTTGTTTTCATGGAAAATTAGAAACAAAAAACATTCCCTCTTTCTATAGTTTCCCTTCCTATCAATTAACAAACACAGCAAGAAAAGCAACGCTGTAGAAGTACTTTTCAATGTACTATGTAAGAATTCATATTTTACATTTAAAATTGGACAAAATAGATATCTCTTTAGCAAAATTAAACAAGACATGATCCTACCATTCTTTCTTTGATAGGCACAAAGAAGAGCATTGTGATATGTGTGTTGTTTGGAAGACACACAGAAAACATTTCCGGTGACAGCATCCCATCCTGTTCTGTCCATAAATAGAAGACGAGATACGTTACCAAATTATTGCCTAATGAAACATTAACCACAACTAGGTTTCATCAAGTATCCTCTGTAAATTTAACAAAGTTTGTCTGGGTACTTATACATGAATAATTAATTTATACTATTTCTTTTTATGGTTCACAAACCCAAAGCTGTTTGTGCTTTCACATATGAAAATCAACATTCAACACATTCACCTTATGAAAATGTTTTGTACTTACATCTACAATTACAGTTGATTAAGGCAACAATTTAGATACATATAATAATGTAATTGTATTCCCAAAAAACGTATCAACTGATTCATTTTACCACGGACTAGAAAAAATTTACAGCATAATTATTCAATAATTTTCTAAAGAAAATTGCATCATAATGCTTCTATAATATTAGTAGACTAGCCAGATCTTTAGTCAAGCAGAGCATAACAGAAACATGGCTCCAAAACTACAAAAAACTGATTAAGTTTTTTTTTAACAATCTGATGAATACAGAAAACATATCAGATATGAAAGTTGAGATTCATTCAAATTCAAATATTTCTATATCAGAAGTTGCCAATGAAGATCTTGCATGTTACAAAAACAAGATAAATGCCAAAGAAATTAAATTATGACTTAAATTACATTATTGAAGTATATTCACAAAAGAAAGATATAAAGACTGGATAGTTTTACATTCATTGTTTTGGGTCAAAGGTGTTGAAGTAAATAATTGCTGCCACAACACTACCTCCTACACAACTGAGCAATCTGCTATTAAATGTTTGACATAAAACCTGGTAAGAAGAGCAGAACAATATGGCTTCCACTGGCAAAAGCAGTTTTGGAAGAAAAAAATTCTTGAATTGAAATCTGTGAATATTGCCCAGATTTAGATAATGTGGAAAAAGCAGTTGTCTTAGGTAAAACTTACTTTTTGTGTAAGAGATTTGGAGGTTACAACATCCATAAGCTAACAAAATTTGTATAATTGGTTTAGCAGAATGGAAGAAACTTCTGCTACTTTTGGTACAAATTTACACAGTGAAATCCCTTTTTTTTTTTAAATACAACTCTTATAGATTTACAAATATACTTTTATTTAAATTTAATAGTTTGGAATAAATTAGGATTCAAAAACCCTATATATAATAATAAATAAAATAAAATGCTATTCTTTGCAATTAAAATTCGAGAAAGTACTTATAGGAAAAGAAACATTTCCAGAAAATTGTTCTCTCTCCCAGCAGAACACAAACTTTACTTCACATATTATTCAAGTCCAGCTACATAAAAGCTGAACATAATGTCAAATTTTAATGAAATGTGCATTTCAATTTTTAAAAATTCTTATTCAAATAATAATCATGTTACAAGAAAGGAAAAAGTATCAGCTACTTTTTTATTACAAATTTCTAAAAATGCATTTAATATGTCTATGTTATTTCATACCTATTCTTTTCTACAAAGGGGGATTTCACTATATGTGTACCATTATTTTAAAATAAATTGATTGAATGAACTAATGAGGAAGAAAACTTCATATGAAAATCTGGACAAATCCATAAATACATTCAATCCAAAACTTCGGTCCTCTATTAAGAGTTTCAAAAGTTGTTTTGTGGTTTGCAAGAGAAAACATCTGACTTCATTCCGTAGCTCTTGAATTAAAAAATGAAATACAGACTTTTCACTTTCATTAAACTGATGAAATTTCAAAACTTAATGTATATACAATGCCTTACATACAACAAACATTTCTTGCACAAACCAACAAAATAAATACAATTCATAAACAAGAATGACAACAGGCCACTTAAAACAGTATCATAAAAAAATTACACACCAGACTAAAGTCTTGGCACTTTTATACATTATTAACATTTTCCATATACATAAACATAGTACCAAAAATGGATTTGTCTCACAAGGCTTACTATATTTTTCCAAGTTCAAATTGATCCAACAAATTTCTTTTGAATTAAACTGTGGCATAAAACATTAAAAATCAACAAGAACTTTACCCACCTATTTTGCTGGATGTTTCATTAAAACCAATGGATGTTTCATTATACAGCAATTGTTTAAAGGAAATATTTCAAGTAAGGAGCCGTGCCAACCAGTGCTTGAAAACAGAACAGTCATTTGGAAAATCTCAACTTATACTGCATATTACTGGCAAAGGACTCTTTTATTTCTTTCCCCCACACATTTATGAAATAAGGTCTTGTAAGAGCAAAAGAACCCAACTTATTAGAAAATTAGACCAACATATCTCAAATTAAAGATTCCCTTACATGACTGATAGGTATTAGACTTGTACTGCTATTGATATTCTACTAAATAATTCACAAACACTATCTTATTTAGGAACTTTCTCGTTCATTTACAACATACTATGTTATAATATATCAACTGAAGTGGAGCAGATGTATAAAACATCCGTATAACACTAAACAATGAATAAATACTTTGCATACATATTTTATAAGAAAATAATTTCCATTAACAGTTCATTTTTAGAACCATCCCAATAAAATGAAGTGTAGTGAGGAACATGAAAAAACACATATCTTCTGCTGTATGTTAGCTTTCTTATGTTACAAATCCAATATAACACAAGATCTGTAGCACAATCCTTTTGTATCAGGAAGACTTTACCAAATATACAGCCAGTTTTCCACTTCACTGAGATATAAGATGAACAGTAAAATTTCAGAATATTCTCAAGATGTAGGATTCAAAGAGGTTTAGTATGTTGGTCCCCATACTACATATCTCAGCCTGTTGTACAATGTATACAGCAATCACTGCGAGGCCACGTTTAAGAGGAATAAACTACAATGCTTTGCAATATCTCCAATTATGAAAAGAAACGCAACATTTGCCACCTACTTTCCACTTCTCTTGAATCTTAGTAGCAGCCTCTCATGGTCTCTTGAATTTAGCACTTAACCAATATGGCATCACCAAGGACTTTTCATTCAACATTAACATGCATGTCTGTATTCAAGATTCACCCTTCCTTCCCAGTTGGAAGTCATTCATAAAAAAGGGTTTTGTCCTTTTCTGAAGCACCACATCATAATATACAGAATCTTAAATTTCAAGTACTGGAGGCACAGAGAGGGAACCTGTCTTTGGCCTCAGTGCCAATGAAGAGCTTTATCTATTAATAAATAGTAGGATATGCAAATTGATTTAGAACACTTTTGGTGGGTCAACACAGCAGTAAAGACATTTGTCTCTACTTCACATCTGCTCCTTCAGACCCCAAAAACGTGTCTTGGAACATCAACTGAAGTACTAAGCCACTGATCAAGAAGTAATAGTGTCAAAAACCTAACATTTCTTGTAGTAAACTTCTTTTTAAATTCCATCAAAATGCAAAATATAGAACACTTACTGCAACGGTATGGAAAAGGTACATCCATGTAAATGTGTCCCTACAATGACAAATAAAATTTAACAACCACAAAATTTCATTTTAGCATAAAACAAGGAAATGAAATGCAATGTATACAATATGAAAAATTATTGCAACTTTTAATATGTCCTTTCTTCATGTTCCTTTTTTTCCCTACACCTAATCGATTATCAAAAAAATGCCATGTAAATTATCAACATAAAATTGACGTGAGAGCTTAACATGAGACATCAGTTGTCTAACTTTCTAGGGACAGATTTACACGAATAAACCTTTGCTTCAATTATGAAAGTTCTTTCCACAAAAAATGGAAATTTGCATACTGGAGAGGGGGGGAAAAAAAAGAAAAGAAAAGAAAATGAAAGCAGCTCTCAGACAACACAGTGAATGCACTTCATTGAATTTCCAAGAGCGCCGGAGGCCACCTCCTCCTTGAGATGGGATGCTCACATTGTCGCAGTTGCGCGCCGCCGGGATCGACCCTTGCCTCCACGCCCCCGTCGGGCTGGCATGCCAGAACCCAGGTGCCTACCTGATCGCCCACAGTCAGAGCACGACACCAATTCTTCAGACTGTCCAGTTTTCTTGTTCTCATGAGCATCTCCCAAGCAGAAGTCACAATACGGTGATGGTGCAGCACGATCTTTTTCTTCTACAGATGGAGGCAGTACCTGCAAAGCAGCCATAAGAAGTATCGTTGTTAATGTGTTCCGTTTGGATATAAAGAGTGTAAAAATTTATTTTCCACAGTAGTATGAAGCGAGTGATATTTCACCTCTGCAAAATATCTCCTAACGAACAGGAGTCAACAAAAAACAAAAATTCTGAATTAACGCAAGTATACATCCGTATTAGAAACAATTAAAAGAAGAAATGATACTCTGAGAAAAAGTATGTATCACAAGACAATGCTAGCACAGTTGGTTTGATCACATTTGCATGAAATAAGGAAAATTGTAGACTGAACTGATGCCTCATTAAGTTGAATTGGGTGTCCAGTTGAAGATTGGGTATCTGGTTGGGTGACCAGTTAATGATAGAGAAGAAGAAAAAGGAAGAGGAAGAAGAGAAGAGGAGGCAGAGAAAAAGAGGAGGAGGAGGCAGAGAAAAAGAAGAAGAGAAAAAGAGGAAGAGAAAAAGAGGAAGAGAAAAAGAGAAAGAGAAAAAGAGGAAGAGGAGGAAGAGAAAAAGAGGAAGAGGAGGAAGAGAAGGTGGAGGAGGACAAGTTGAAGGTAAAAAGAAATCGAAGAAGTCAAACAAAGACAAAGAGGAAAAAGACAAAATCAACAAAGATGAACAAGTCAATGTCAAATACAAAGAAGAAGTCAAATTAAGGAGAAGATTTTGAAAAAATTATGTTGAGAGAGAAGTAAAAGAGAAAGAAAACTAGTGAAATGAATGGCTGGGATTTTCTCACACTATTTAGTTTTCTAATCTCTCAGGTCTAGACTTTTCCGTATTACCCCACTCTTCTCAACTGCTACATATCAGCACCTAGAAAGCACTTATTCACATTTTCTCAGGATTCAGTCCCCTCCTAGTAGAATAGAAATATGAACTCAAAAATAAGAAGTAAAAGGATTCATTAAAAGATTCTGCCACAAATTACACTCAGTAGTGGTCTTGAGATTACTATCTTATGCTGGTGAAGCGAATATTGATGTACTCTTCTGTGGTTTGGTCTCCGTTTATTTGAAATATAAGTCACAACGTGAAACAGTCAAACACAAATTATTCAGAATGACAGCCTATGGTTTGGGATTGGAAGATCCGTATATAAAACATGAATATATCGACATGGCTCTACAATTACACATTCCTTCACAGAGACTTGAACACGTTTTTGTTTTTGAGAAAACTGATATTGGGTGAGGTTGATTGCAAAGTCCTGCAAAACCAGATAGTGTACAAAACACCTAACTTTAATTCTAGAAACAAAGATATTTTTGATATTCGATTTTACCATCAATCTTACACAGCCAATAATGTTATAAATTGATGTGGCAAATCAGTCAACAGTTTGAATATTTATACAAGTGAAACAGATAAATCTGCTTTTTTATCAGTAGCGAGTCACAAAATCTTGAACTTTGAATGAGTATGCGTGGTAAAGATACTTATACCAGATATATTTCATATGTTATTATTGAATGTTTTTCTTTATAAATGTCTCTATTTTTATAATTATGTTGCTACATGCAAATTATTTATTGTATTCTTTTTGTAGATAATGGACTTACTTGTCCGTATAATAATACTAAGTAAATAAATATTATAGAAGAGCAAAACATCTCGTATTAATACTTTGATCAAAAAATTTGGAGCCGTTTTTTGAGAAACTGTTTGAGCGTTTCTCAAAATGTACAATTTACAGCTAATTTTCATAGAAAACATTTGAGATTTTGAGAAACTTCAACAGAAATAATTTTAAGTATTTGCACTCACAAACGCAATAATGTATTAAAAAAAAAAAATCCCATAAAGAAAATGATGATGTATCAAAAAATTACATTTGTATAAATTTTGAAAAATGAAAAGAAATAATCCCAGTGGTATTTGTTATGATATTCAAAGCATATTTATCCCTACACAAAATGTATAGAAAAAATTTGAAGCTGCTTTTGAGAGCAAGCATTTCTGAAAATGCACAATTTTAAAGTCTTTTCACAGAAACTATTTGATATTTTGAGAAATTTCATAATAATTTGAACCTCGAATGCAATTACGTATAAAAGTGCTTATATTGTAAGTGTTAACAATGTGAGAGATATTAAAAATAAAATAAAATAAAAAATAATAAAAAAAACAACTTATTTTTTCACACAAAATTGCACAAAAAAATACTTATATTTTCAAAATAATGTACACAACATTAATAAAAAATCTGATTTGGAGAAAAAATTCATTTGAAAAAACAAAAAACATTACTATCATCAATATTGCAGTTGTAGTAAGACACCAAAAAATTTCATCTTGTGTAACTTAGAAAATTCAGATGTAACAGTGAAATTTGAACCCAAGCCATCTTTATAAGTATATTTTACTCTATTCTTACAAGAAATTTAAAGAAAAAAATTGGAGCTTCTGAGAAAATTTTGAAAATGTCCCTGGGATTTAATGTAAGAATCTCCAAAATTTAAAGAACATATTTCAAAATCTCACGCCTTTCAGCCAGCCCACAGTGACTAGGGAATATTCATATTGGAAAAAAGTCTACAAATAGTTTAGGTACTAGTGGTCTTCATAAACAGACTGATAGATGTTTTTGGATAACCAGGAGACCCCAAAACATGAATTTCTGTTGAAATCTGAATCCATTTTCCACAGTAATATATAACTTTCTTTACAAGACTGCAAATACAAGAAAGTAGAAAGAAGAAAAAGGTGGAGAAGCCTTACTCACAAATTGCATGGAAGATCCAACAACATTTGATAATTTAAGATTAACATGTTATTCTTCAGCATGTGGAAATTAATGATCAATTTTAATTCACTGACTTTATTAAAACATTTTAATTACAATGTAACAGTTAATATGTTACATAGTAATTAAACATTTAAACAGTACATAAAAACTTTTAAGAACACTTTAAGGTCCGAGGTCCTTAGGTATAAAAACAAGTACTACTAAAATAACAATATTAGTGAAAGTATGCATAAGAAATGAATAAAATAATAATTATAAGAGTATTATTAAACACACTCCAGAAGTAGTAACAAAATTTGTATTCATAGCACCTTATGTACCCTGACACAAAATTAATCATAATTAAGAAGATTTTAAAAAACAAACCCCAATCTTTAATTTACCCATGATAGTGAGTTCAACAACAAAATTATTTTCTCTATGACCCTTACATCAAACTTAAGAATAAGTATAAAGTTAAACAAGTGTAACATTTAAAAAAACTTTATCAAATTTAATTGGTACAGAAAATCCACCTGCTCTGGGAGGGTACCCAGTTATAATTCCAACCCCTCTATACAGCAAAAGATGGCATTATACTGGGTGTGTCTATCTTTCTCCGAGGAAGATGCGCAGCTTGTCTCAGCATTCGAGCCCGCAGTTCCCTGGGGACTTGTCAACAAGGGCTTTGTTCATCCGGCGCGACTGGCTGATACCACAGTGTCCCGAGAGCGCTAAACTGTGCATCATGAAATTTTCTTTCAAGCAGAGAATATTTCTTTACGACACCTTTGTTCGACATAAGTCTGTCAGTAAGTGCCGCGAGAGGTTTATTAACAAATTTGCGGGTGTGAATATTCCACTTCGGTCGACAATTTTGAAGCTTGTAAAGAAACTTTGCACCCATGGAATTTTAATTGACAAACAGAAGAGTCGAAAGCGCCATGTCCTGACAGAAGAGAAAGTGAACGAAATCTCTGTCAATTTCAACAATCTCCAAGAAAATCTTTGAGGCGTCTATTGTTCCTTTCAAAGGGATTCTGCAATTGCTGCTGTTCGATCCACGAACTTTTTAAATAATATTTATAGTGACGATTGAATAATTAGTCACGGGTTTTGGCCTCCTAGATCTGATATGACTCCTTGTAACTTTTTCCTTTGGGGGTACTTGAAAGATCAGGTGCATGGGGAAACCCCGCATTCGAAGGAAGAGCTCCGACACTTCAATGAAGAGAAAATCGCAGCACTTTCTTGAGACTCTCTTCAAAGGTAAATCAAAATATGTTCTGGAGATGTCAAGAATTAACTCGAGCCGAAGTACATCACTTTCAATATCATCTTTAAGATAAGATAGCGTAGCACTAGTTCCCGTGTGTTAGCACGAGAATTGAGTCTGTGTTTCACCGAGCCGCGGCCAAGCCCTCACCTCCCCAGGCAACGGGGCCGGAATCTTCGTCGAACAATAAAATAAACACCCTGTAGTATGTAATTTAGTTGATAAAGCTTTATTGCTTTTTGACTTTAATTTATACACAAGTAACATACAAATTTGTAAATATATTCTCATGAGTAATGACAATGCAAACAAATTTATCAATAAATATATCCATTTCAGACTCCAAAAATATTTAGCAGAACATTTCTGCACATTTATATTAATAATAACTATTTCACTGTGATCAGTTAATTAATCTATTATCCAATATTTTTACAATATAAATTTAAAAATTGCAATATTACATTTACTTTCAAACCTTTACCACAACTTAAAGAGCACTAATTATAAAAACATAAAGGCCCATATATTACAGATCAAACTCAAAATGAGTATAAAATTGATTGCCATGATTCTACTTGTGATATAGTACATTGGTAAAACAAACCTTATTCTCTTCACACATTTAAAAGAAAAACAGGAACAAGATTATATTGTATTGCAACAGATATTACGTTATCAGAAAACTTATGTTAAGAAACCAGTCATAATATGAATTTAAATGAAGTCAAGATCCTCTGTTATTAATTTAATGCTTACAGGTTTCCTGGACATTCACGTTCAAGGTTGAGCACTGTTTTCTATGCAATCCTAATCAATTCTACTTTTTGATCAAGATTGTCCCCATTTTGCTGTTTATGAGAATTTCTTCATTGCTTTGATATGACATATTGGATTCATGATCCACCTTCGATTATTATTTCCATTGATGGAGCTTGTACACACATTTTGATACTACCTCAAGTATATTTAATAATATTGTTATAAAT